CGCCGTGTAGGTGAGGGCGAGGAGGACATTCTCCATTCGCTCTCGGGGTAGAGGTTAGGCCCAGGGGTGACGACTAGTCTCCTGGGGAAGCCGGGTACCAGCTTTAGAGTTTTAGTTCGCGATTTTGACGCTCACGGCGAGTGAGAGTGTGTGTGTGTAAGAAGTATTATTTTGTAAAGACCAGTTTTGATAGTTCTGATCGAATCTTTGTTACCGACGAAAGGTACGCGTGCGCCTACCGACGTAAGATTATTTGTTGTAAAATCGTTTTCTTTGTATTTTCGTTTTGATTAACGACATCTGTTAATCTAGATCTAGTTTTGGGGTCTTAATATAACCTAAAATTGTATCACGAGCGTTTTGTTTATTTTGTAATCTTTTTCATTTGATTTATTTAATTGGATTTGATAAATAAATTGTTTATTTTGTCTTTAACATAACCTGTTTGACTTTTCGGATTTATTTCTATAGATTTAGTTATATATCTATTATTTACATTTAAGTAAGTTTTGTTTTTGGCTTTACTTCGTTATTTTTTTTGTAATTTTGGTGACAGCCCCTTTTATGACCCTGTATTTCGGCGAGCTTCAGATTCGAGCAAGGGGGCGTTTGTGTCGCAGTATCGATAGTTCACTGGTTTAATTATTTTTTTAAACACCTCAAAATTACCCGTTACATAGCACTTGCTCCTATCTGGCCTTTTGCAGGAGCGTGTCATGTGTCCATATCGGAGGCATCTGAAGCCACGAGGTACTCTCACGACCGATCGGGTGCAACAGTTGACCCATCTAATCTTGATGCTTGCCTTGTCCAAGGCATTGGTTGCACTAGCTAAATCGATCTCACAGAAAGTTGCGCCTTGACCTCGCGAGGTGATCTTCGTTAAGTTGATACGCTTGATCTCCAGGCTGGTGATGAAACGTTCAAGCGCTTTACGATTTTCTTCTTTTGTAGCGACTTCATCCAGGTTATGGATTTCGATTATTGTTGTGAGTGTGAGCGTCTTAACTGTACCAATACTTTTGGTGGCTATCTTAACCACCTCGGCCAAAGTGGTGTTGTCTTCGGTCTTGTGACCATTTCCAGCAGTACACCCCTATTTTTCGTCTATATGATTGACTTGATGTCCACGCTGGGTCCATAAAGACTACTTTAGTTTTGATCTCTTCGAGAAGATTCGCGTAAGTTCGCCCTAGCTGGTTGGACGAGGATGGCCTTCAGTCGTGATTTCTTTCTCTTAGTGTTTTGTTTGCCCTGTTTGGAATTAGAACTAGGGACTGCTTGTTCTTTCCGTGCTTCGATCGATGAAGCTGCTGTGTCGTCAGGTGTTTGTTTCTTTTTATTTTTAACTTCCCACTAAGAAAATTGAAAATTTATAAAAATCGGGAAGTTATTGGTTCTACCCCGTTTTTCAAAAATTGAGTTCTCATCAGATCTTGACGTTTTGTGTGTGTGTGTGTGTATGTGTGTGTTTGTTTTTTTTTTTTTTTTTTTTTTTTTTTTTTTTTTT